AAATAACTTAAGGCTTTGGGTAAAATGGCCAAAGGAACCTAGTTCCACCTGTTCTCTGGCAAAGCTGGCCTCCAAAGCTGGCAGGGAGAGAGAGCTTTCTCTGCACCGCTTCCGGGATTGGTACTCGTTTTCCACAGAGTGTAAAGCTGTCTGACTTTGAGATGGAGGCAACTTGCTTAAAACCCTGTGGCATGGCTATTATGGTGAACTGGGATAATGCCCCTTAAGGGGTATGTGGTATGAACCTTCATCTAATCAGGATTTAGGACTGTGACTCATTCTCAAAGGTCCTTGAAAGATGGAGCGCCAGCCCAGATGCAGCAGGTGGAAGGGTTCTCGACACTGCCACCATGTGGTAGCATCATGGACAGCAGGTCTTCCTGTGGGTGTCCAGATGGAGACCCAGCCTTGGCACATTAGCAGCCAACCCAGGCACAGAGAGTGTCTGTCTCTCTGCAAATGAGGTGGTTAGCGTTCTTCCTTTCTTTCTTTTGTGTATGGGAGTTTTACTCCATGTATGTCTATGTACCATTTACTCGCCCAGTAACCTCAGAGGCAAGGAGATGTCGGATTCCCTGGGACAAGACTTACAGAAGGCTCTGAGCGGTTGTGTGAGTACTGGGAATTGGGCCCCAGTCTTCTGGAAGAACAGCCAGTGCTCTTAACCACTGAGCCATCTCTCTGTTAACTTTTTTATAATTGGAACAAAGGGTTGAGAGCATCTGTGAGCTGAATGCTCCTCCCCAAAACACCTCCTAACAGAGTCATAGATGGGTAGATGTCAGTTTCAGGTACCACTTTATGTAGAAATGCTAGTGACCTCACAGCGGTTGTTGCCCATTCCTATGTCAAACAGAGAACTTGTTTAACATGAGTTTTTTACTTCATCGCTTCCTTCCTTGGCATTCTGAGCCGTCATGGGCAGATTTGGCTTATGAAAATTGGGCTTATTTGATAATAGAAGCAGTATGTTTTCTGTTTTCATAGCTTTGACCTGACTTTGGAGGTGAAAGACTCAGCCTGGAGAGTTATGTTCTCTATAGCCACTTCTAGGCTAGTGCAGTTAGTTAGTCTTGCCTGGAACTTTCTGAACACCTTGCTGTCCTGAGGTTCCTGTACTCTGGTTTGGATGACCTGGGGCATTCAGTCTTCACAGAGTGCCGTGATGGCCAGGGAACAGGGCTGGCTGGGCTTTCGGGACCTCCTCTGGTCCCTCTAAGAACACAAATGGGAATGCATGCCTGCTACTTGAAACTGAAGGAATGCCGTGTCTCATATATTACAGCTCAACCACAGTTTCCTCTCCTGCCTCTCTTCCCCACTACTTCCCCTCTCCTCTGATCCACTTCTCCGTTTCTCTTCAGAAAATGACAGGCCTCCCAGGGATATCAACCAAACATGGCATATCAAGTTGCAATAAGACTAGGTATCTCCCCTCATATTAAAACTGGACAAGGCAGCCCAGTAAGAGGAAAAGAGTCCCCACAGCAGGCAAGAGTCAGACAGCCATGCTCTCACTGTTAGGAGTCCCACAGGAAAACTACACAACCACAACATATATTCAGAGGGCCTAGGTCAGACTTAGGCAGGCTCTCTGGTTATCAGTTTGGACTCTGTAGAAATGCCTTCTTGACCCATTTACATGTCCTGTCTTGCCTCTGTATTTCAGTGTTCAGAGGTCCAGTGGGAAGGGCTTATAGTATCTCTGCATCTCAGTTGCTTTTCCAAATGTTGATGCAGTTGAACAGCCATGACCTGAACTCTGCTTAGTACTGTTTTCCTGGGCAGACATTTAATGATCTATATTATTAGTGTGTGCCAATGAAACATCAACTTGAGAATCTTAGTCTGTAGAGGATACATAGTTGCTAAAATCAGTTACCAATAGAACCTTCCTGTTTCTGCTGTGTTCTTATCTGAGCACGGCTGCAGCGTTTCACAAAATGTATACGCAGAGTTCCTCCTGCCTTACTGTCCAGTGTTTCTGCACTCAGTCCTTCTGCCCAGGTATCCTGATGGCTGGAGTAGCTTAAGAGATGTTTACAGGGTGAATGTTAATAGTTACAGACCTGATGGCATATGGCCTTTCCTGGGGGGACATTAATAGATGTCTATTCACCCCGCACTAGTGGCAGATCAGAAAATGTTACTTGTAGGGGTGGGGGTGGGGGTGGGGGTTTGCTTCCAGAGCATGAGCGACTCAAATGCAGATGCAACACCGAGAAGCCTCCCCATGTGCGTGACCACTCAAAAAGCTGTATTCCCAGAGCTCCCTGAATGATGTGCAGGCAGCCTGGCTGCCACGAAAGCCTCCTCTTCCTAGTCGTTGTTACCCCTCATCTAACTTTCAGGTGTCTCAGTTTGCTTTTCTGTTGCTGTGATAAAAGCAAAACCATGACAAAAGGCAACTTGGAGAGGAAAGGATTTATTTCACCTTCTACCTTACAGTCGCAGTCCATCATGAAATAAAGTCAGGGCAGAAACTGAAGGCAGGAACCTGGAGGCGAGAACTGAAGCACTGACCACGATACCTATGGCTTCGTCCGCTTGCTTTCTTATACACCCTACAACCATCCGCCTGGTTGGAGCATTACCCACAGTGGCCTGGGCCCTCCTTCACCAGTTATTAACCAAGAAAACCACCTATAGACTTGCCTATATGCCAATCTGATGGAGGCATGGCGTCAGTTGAGATTCTTCTTCCCAGATAACTCTAATTGTGTCAAGCTTGTTAGCAAAACAATATGCAGGTCAACTTAAAACAAGATGCAGCTAACCGGGCTGGAGAAATGGCTCAATGGTTAAGAGCATTGCCTGCTCTTCCAAAGGTCCTGAGTTCAATTCCCAGCAACCACATGGTGGCTCACAGTCATCTGTAATGAGGTGTGGTGCCCTCTTCTGGCTTGCAGGCATATACAGAGGCAGAATATGATATACATAATAAATAAATATTTTAAAAAAAAAGATGCAGCTAACCAGGACAAAAGGAGGGTTGTGAATCTTCTAAGATTCAGAAGGTGACCAAGCCTCATATAGTTTCGGAGACCTGTGAGCCAACCCCTTCTCTCTAAGAGGGGATGTTCCAATTTTGAGAATAGTTACCTAACAGCCAGGGATGGTGCTTTCAACCAGACCAAAAGGCAACGGTCTTACCATATTAAACCTACCAATTCAACCATAGTGAATGATACTGTTTGTTGGCTTGTGTGGATTGCCTCTCACTACTTCTCCAATATTCTCCTCACCCCAAGGTGGCTCCTGTCTTTGCTTTCTGCTAATTTTATTCTGTTTGAGGCGCTGGTATGATCAATATTGTTTTCCCTTTTGGACCCTTGCCCTGCACATCCCTGCATGAGGTCTTTATCAAAGTTTTTACTCAAATCTAGTTTTCAAGAATGGAGTGATGGAAATTGGGTCCCATAAGCATTTAATTTGTGCTCTATATTTTTGAAAAAGGATCTTTCTATGCGACCCTGATTGGTCTGAATTTTCTGTGTAAACCAGGCTGGCCAGGAACTTGAAGTGATCCTCCTGTCCCAGCCTCCACACAGGCTGAGGTCTGCACCACCATGACCCCCTATTTACACAATTTTAATACTGTAATTTTAATATTTATGTCTTCTGTCCACCCCTCCTTCCCCTCTCGCAGTCTATACTTCTCTGAAGTAAAAGTTGATAATATATTTTTAATTTCCTATCTTAATAATAAAGCTTTTTTCCTTTGTACTGGACTGATTGAATTATTCAGCATGATTCTTACTGCTATTAGGTTTTTTTTTTCTGTTTTGCTTTTTGTTTATTTTTTGTTTTTCAAAAGACAGTTTCTCTGTGGAACAGCCCTAGCTGTACAGGAACTCACTTTGTAGACCAGGTTGGCCTCGAACTCACAGAGATCTGCTTGCCTCTGTCTCCTGAATGCTGGGATTAAAGGCAAGCGCCCTGCAGTGTTTTATTAAATCTCAAGAGACTAACCTCTCCTATAGTGGACCCTTATCAGGAGCTTTTGAACTCGTTTTTTTCAAGTCAAGACCGGAAACACTTCTCTATATCCCTTTCTGATCTGGGTCTGCTCCCTGCCCTTTTGCTTTAAACCATTTGGGTTTCTAAGTCTTTCAGCCTGGCCCTGGTACATATCTCTAATCTCTCTGCCTTGGGAGATAAAGGCAGGAATATCTCTGTGAGTTTGAGGTTAGCCTGGTATAAATTATCAAGTTCCAGACCAAGTAGGGGTACTTAGTGAGACCCTGTCGCAAATAAGAAACACACACACACTCACACACACAGAAAGACAAAACAAAACAAACAAACAACAACAACAACAACAAAAACCCCAATCAATCATAAAACATCCAGGGCGAAATAACGCCTCTATCTAGTCCTGCCTGCGTTTTTCTACGTTTCTATCATCTGGAGGACACCTGCCCTGGGTATTTGGTAGGAATGCCTTTCTCATAGTGACTGCCGGAGCCCTAGTTTATAAACTCTCAATTTATAAACGCTGCAAGGGGTAGTATGTGGTGGCTTGGCCAGTAATGTCAGTAGCCCGAGACGGAAGCAGGAGGGTTGCCACAAGTTCGAGGATAGCTGGGACTGCAGTGTAAGCCACTGTCTTAAAAAGAACAATGGGGGCTGGAGAGATGGGCTTAGCGATTAAGAGCACAGACTGCTCCTCCAGAAGACCAGGGTTCAATACCCAGCACTCACATGGCAGCCCATAACTGTCTATGACTCCAGTTCCAGGGGATCTGACACCTTCACACCAATGCATATTAAAAAAAAAAAAAAGCAAGTCTCAGGACTCTTGCACGGGAACAGTAGCCGGCGAGCGGCCCCACGCGCGGGAATCACAGAGACACAGCACAGTCTCCAGGGCGCCTGCAAATCCTCTCAGACAGCAACGGCGCGAGCGCCCACGCCGATTGGCTGTCAAGGCCGGCATTCCAGCTAATGAAAACGTTTCTTGTTGAACGTGTAGCGCGCAGGAGTCTGGGTGCTCCGGCCGTTGCCGTGGAGACGCCGGGCGAGTTCCGGGGAGTCAGGTTTGCGGGTGGCCGCGGGGTGTGCGTGAGCTCGGCTGCGGTGAGCGCCAGGAGGCGGAACCACGCGAGAAGGCCGCGGCTCTCCGCTTCTTCACCGGCGCGGGGCCGAAGCGAAACCAGAGATTCGTCGGCTCGGGACCGGGCCTTCTGCCCATGCCGGCTCCTCCGCGGGACTCCCGCCGCCGGCCCGAGGTGCGCCGGGTGGCTCACTGTGACAGCGGCTCGAAGCCATTCCTTTCTGTGCGTCCTTTCACTCACCTTCACAACAGCCCAGCGAGGTGAGTGTATTGTTAGTGCGCTTTACGCGGGTGGAAACGGATGCTCACGAAAGGTTTCTCAATGATTTTAAAGTTCCCGGAGCGGCTTCCACCGGCTGCAGCTGTTCTGCTGACAAGCCGCCCCGGAGGAAGCAGGTTGATCGACTTCACCTGGCTCTCCGGGCTTCTGCACCTGTGGATTTGGGGCCTACTCAGCTCTTCAAGACTTGAGTTCTTTGGTTTGTCGAGACGGGGTTTCTCTGTGTAACAGCCCTGGCTGCCCTGGAACTCGCTCTGTAAACCACGCTGACCTCGAACTCACAGAGATCGTCTGCCTCTGCCTCCCGAGTCCTGGGATTTACAGGCGTGCACACACCACCGCCTGGCACAAGATTTGACTTCTTATAGGTCATGAATGTGGACAGCTGAACTCCATGTAGCTAAGGTTCCTTCTATGCAATTCATTACTTTGTTTAGAAATAGAATATTTAGAGTGATCTCCTTTAGGGGCCCACAAACTCTTGTCGATATATTTATAATATGTTTTAAATTTAGTAATAACAATACTTTTAATGTTTTTTTTTAAGATTTGGGGTGGCTGTACTCTGGATCTCTGCGTTCAAGGCCACGTTGGTCTACACAGTGAGTTCCAGGATGGTCAGAGCTACACAGTGAGACCCTGTCTTTCGTCCCCCGCCCCTGATGCAAAAAGATTGCCAGGCTCCTTGACCCCAGTAGTCCTCCCATTGCTTATCACTGGGTGACAGTGATGAGGGGCTTAAAGTACTTTTCTTCATAATGTGGCCTTGGGCCATGGAGACTATAAAAGAGTTTGGAAACTTAGACTTGCTATGGCAGTGCGTGCTTTTAGTCTCAGAACGCGGCAGAACTCGGGAGGCAGAGGCAGATGGGTCTCTGAGTTCAAGACAACCTGGTCTATATAGCTAGTCCAGGCCCATTTTTCAAGGAATATATAGGGAGATCCTGTCCAAAAAAAGGGGGGAGCATGTGTTTGTGGTGAGGGGTGGGGTTTGGAAACTTGAGAATTTAAAGCAACTAATGTGCTATTCTTAGAAAAATGCAACTAAAAAAAAAAAGAAAAAAATTGCAACTGCTAGGAATTTGATAAATGATTATAAATTAAGCACCCCAAATTAAAATCCCCCAAATCCAAACTCTTGAGTGCAGAGATGACTGCACTGTGAAATTTTGTTCCGTGTAAAATTATTAAACATTTTATGTAAAATTAATCTTAAGGCTGTGTGTATAAGGATGTATGAAACTAGTAAATTTTGTGTTTTGATGAGTCTCATCAATAAGATATCTTATATACTTGCAAAAACTGTAGAATCTAAACGAAATCTGAAGTCCAAAACATTTTTGGATTTTCTTCTCTTTATTTTGTAGCTGTTCTTTTTTGCTTTTTGTTTTTTCGAGACAGGGTTTCACTGTAGTTTTAGAGCCTGTCCTGGAACTAGCTCTTGTAGACCAGGCTGGCCCCGAACTCACAGAGATCCGCCTGCCTCTGCCTCCCGAGTGCTGGGATTAAAGGCGTGCACCACCACCATCCGGCTTGCTGTTCTTTTTTTTAAAGGCTGATTAATTTTTATTTTATGTGTATGCGTGCATGTATGTATGTTTGTCGTGTGTGTTTCAGGTACAAAGGAAACCAGGATATTTGTACTTCTGTAGTTAGCTGCTGTATGGGTGCTGAGAACTGGACCCAGGTCCTCTGCAAGAGCAAGTGCTGTTAACTGCCCAGCCATCTGTCCAGCCCCTTTTTTTTTTTCCTGCTTCTGGGGCTCATGGAGAACAGTAAATATGTGACCCACCATTCTTGAATTGATTACACACACAGCGATCATGTATGATCTCAAGTGCACAACAGAAAAGCTGGGATCAGGTGGAGATGCACCAGCAGCAGCAACTCAGAGACTATCCATCTGAGTTTGTTTTATACTTTTGGGTACAGAAAGTAGAACTGAATATAACTGACTAAGCTAGTCTGGGTAGAGGTCTTGGTAGGGTGGCAGTCTCAGACTGTGGCTGACTGCTGCGGGCACATTTTCTGCACACAGACTAGGGGAAGGCATTGGGGTCCTTGATAGCATGCCCTTGTCAACCAGACACATTCGCTCGGGCCTTTCTCTGCTCCCCACGTTTTTCTGTGATAGGCTTCTTTCACTTAGCATATTTTCAAAGACTGCTACCCATGTTGTTAGCTCTTTGTTTTTATGAGTAATCCATTGTTTAAATGTACCATATTTTGTGTGTCCATTCATAAAATTATGGACTTTTGAGCTATTTCTGCCTTTTACATATTATAAATAATTCTCATTAATCTTTGCTTTGGTGTTTGACTTGTGTGGATGTTCCATAGTTAATTTATCCACTCTCTTTATAGACATTTTAGGTAGCTTCCATTATCTTGCAATTAGAACTCCTGCATAACAAATAATCCTATGTTCTTGTATTTCTGTATTGTTAGTGTAATGGAAAAATTAAAAATGCTGTGGATCCCCAGTGGCGGCGGCAGGTAGCAGAAATGCTGCAGGTCCCCAAGTGGTGGCAGCGGGCCATGTGGTGGCAGGCAGCGGGCCCTGAGAGCAGCCAGTTCCAGGCAGGGACAGCTGCAGGTCTCCGAGTGGTGGCTGGTCCAGGGCAAGGAGACACGTGGTGGTGGGCAAGAGACGGAGATATGGATAGGCACTCCATGCAGAGTGAGGTTGAATATTTATTCAGTGGGTTATGGAGGGGGAAGGGAGAAGGAGAAGAGCAGAGAGAGGGAGGGAGAGAAAGAGAGAGAGAGAGAGAGAGAGAGAGAGAGAGAGAGAGAGAGAGAAATGGGGAAGGGGAAAAGTGGGGAGAGGCAGAAGCTGCCTCTTAAGAGGGAGACTTTAAAGAGAGGGAACTCAGGCTGGAAGCTGAAGATCAGCCAGTCTCAACAGATAGGGGAGGGAGTGGGTGTGGCTTGTCTCTTAAAGAGACAGAACAGATCATTACAGTTGGAGATAGTAGGTCTTCAGGGTAGAGGCTAAAAGTACGGTTCTGGTTGAAATGTACATACAATTGTAATTTTCTTAGATATTGTCCGATTGCTTTTCAGAAGGATTGTATCACTTTCTTTTATGTGAGAATAGTATTGCTTTTCCACAAAATTTGCTTACCCTCTCTACCTTGAGACAGGATTTCATTATGTAGTCCTGTTTGACCTGGATTTGCTATGTAAAAAAGACCAGGATGGTGTTGAACTTGCAGTGGTCCTCAGGTGCCTCTTTTTCCTGACTATTGGGATGATAGGCCACCACGTCCAGCTTGAAAAAACAACAAGAAAATTATTTAATGGATTGACAGATTATTTTTTTGTGTGGAGGGCATGGTTGCCACAAGCACCAGTGTGGAGGTCAGAGGAAAACCTGTGGAGCTGGTTCTCTCTTTCCACCTTTGTGTAAGTTCCGGGGATTGAACTCAGGTTCCTCTGTCATCTGAACCATGCTCCAACTCCATACTAATTGGCTTGGTACTAATGGTATACTTTGCTACTTCACTGAGTTCTTTTATTAGTGTATAAATTTGCCATTGATTATGGGTTTAAAGGTTTTTTTTCTTAAGGTATTCTATTATATCGTCAGCACAGCAATTAGTAATACTTTTACTTTTTATTCAATTCTTAATTTTTTTGAGATAGGATCTTGCCATGTAGCCCATGCTGGACTTGAGTCCATAGTTCTACTGCCTTAGCCTCCCGATGCTGAGGTTACAATGCTGAGATTAAGCCTGGCTTTCATGCCTATTCTTAAACCTCAGTTTGCTTTTCCTGTTCTCATTGCTTTGGCTGATCATCCTAGTGCAATAGTGACTAATAGCAGAGATGGTGGCCATCCTGGCTTTAGTCCTAATATCAATAGAAATGTTTGTAGTGTTTCTCCATTAATAGTATTTTGGATTTAGGACCAAGATATTTATATTTTTTATCATGACAAGAAACCATCCTTCAGTTCCCATTTTCTTCAAGTGTTTTTCTTGTTCAGAGGTATTAAATTTTGTTAGATTTTTTTTAACCAAAAAAGTTTATTTTAAAACATTTGTGTGTAGCTGCTTATCTGTATGTGCATCATGAGCATACAGTGCCTGCAGAGGTCAGAATAGGGCACTGGATGCTCTAGAATTGGGTTACAGGTGGTTGTGAGCTACCTGGTAAGTGAGCTGAACCTGGGTTCCCAGAAGGGCAGCCAGTGCTTTTAAGTGCTAAGCTGTCTCCATATGGAAATTATTGTATAACTTTTAATATGACTTAATCATGTTTTCATTTTTATATTTTGTTACATTTCTTTTACTATTTTAGTTTATTTGCTTTTATCTAGAAGGCTTTTTTTTGTTACTTTTCTCATCGAACTTACTAGTAGTTGGCTGGTCAGAGAGTTCCAGGGGTCTTCCTGTCTCTGTTCCTCAGTTCTAGGCCTGCAGATGCACGGGGGACCCTGAGCTCAGGTCCTCAGGTTTGCACAGCAACCACTTTCTCAATGGAATCGCCTCTGCCCTCAATCACAGCCTTTGATCAGAACTATCTTGGTTTTATTTTTATTTTTATTTTTATTTTTATTTTTATTTTTGGTTTTTCGAGACAGGGTTTCCCTGTAGCTTTGGAGCCTGTCTTGGAACTAGCTCTTGTTGACCAAGCTGGCCTCGAACTCACAGAGATCCGCCTGCCTCTGCCTCCCGAGTGCTGGGATTAAAGGCATGCGCCACCACCGCCCGGCTTCTTGGTTTTAATAATGTTTTTGGAGAGGGGTGTGTGTGTGTGTGCGCGCGCGCATATACTTGCCATAGTAAAGATGTGGAGGATTGAGGGCAACCTTGGGTGTTGGTTCTTGCCTTTTAATCTCCCTCCTTCTTAAATTAATACCATTATTGGGGCTAGGGAGATGTGTCAATGGTTAAGAGCATTGAGTATCTTCCAGAAGACCCAGATTAGATTCCCAGCACTACATAACAGCTCACAACCCAACCATTTGTAACGCCAGTCTTGGGATCTGATGTCCTTTTCTGGCCTTTGCAGGTACCAGGCACACGTGTGGCACAGAGTCATACACATACAGGCAAAACACCCATACGCATAAATAAGTAAATGAATGAATGAATAATAATTTAAAATATTACTATGTGTGTATGGTGTTTGTGTGTGGAGCTTAGAATAAAATTTGGGGGGGTTGATTCTCTTCTTCCACTTCTGTGGGCTTCAGAGATTGAACACGGGTTATAAGGCTTACACCTTTATCTGCTGAGCCATCTCTCCATCCCGATTGATTTGATTTTTCTAAATTTTATTTTAATTGCGTGAGTGAGCGTGTGTGTGTGTGTGTGTGTTGGGTTGGATGTACACATACATGTAGAGGTCAGAAGACAGCTCCATGGAGGTTTTTCTCTCCCACATTTATGTGGGTTTTGGGGATTGAATTTGGGTTGTCAAGCTTGTGTATTTCCAGACTGAGTCATCTCACTGGCCCTTCACTTTGTCTTGGAATCCAGGTCTCTTGTTCTCTGCTGCGTGCACAGACATAAGATTTCTTATCTCCAGTTGTGTGTGTATGTATTTGCCCATGAGTGCAGGGCGCCCTGGAGGCCAGAAGAGGATGCTACATTGACCGGAGCTGGACTTACAGATGGTTGTGAGTTGCCTGACTTGGGTACTGGGAACCGAGCTTGTGTATTCTGTAAGAGCAAAGGGATCTTCAGTGCTGAACCATCTCTTCAGTCCAGCTCCATTGTCTCTTAACACTGTTACATTGGGAACCAGACTTCACTGTGACTTCTGGAGGAGACAAATACCACTCAAACCATAGAACTTTCCAGGAACCCTTCTCTGTTTCGAGCACACTGTGTCAGAAAGATAGATGCAGATGTTTGTCTTTCCACAGCACCAAAACAACAACAGCAATAAAGTAATAAGTGATACTAGAATAACAATAAATTCACAAGGTATGGCAGTTTCAGTGGCACCACTTTCTTTGATGACCCTGACTGAAGTAAACACAGATTCTTTATTCTAGTGTTAGTTCCTAATATTAACTTTAGGCTACACATTACAGATTACACAGTTCATGATGGTGACTATCTCCATACAAGAACATGCCTCTGGCCAAGAATCTTCTTCACCCCTCTTCAGAAGAGAAGAGAAAACAAACACTAGGTGCAGCACCCCAATTCCTGCTTCATGCATGTGAAATGTCCAGGTTGTTAGGAAATCACTGTGGTTTTAGCTATGCACAAGTAGAAATCTTGTGTGTTGGTTACTTCAATGCCCTCTCTCAGCCTACAGGCAGAAAGCAAGGCTTACAGGAGAACCCTCTTTTCTAGAGGAAGCAACATTCAAAGTACCCTGAATCCGGGGCTAGAGAGACCAGCACTGGCTGGTCTTTTAGAGGTCCTGAGTTCAATTCCCAGCACCCACATGATGGCTCACAGCCATCTATAATGAAATCTAATGCCTTCTTCTGGTGTGTAGGCATGCAGGTAAAGTACCGTGAGTCCAGAAGAGTGAATTCTCTCTCTCTGTCCCCAACCCCCTCTCTCTCCAGAATTGCTGTCCTGGGGCAAGAGGCCTCAGCAGAGTTTGAGGGGTGTTTTGGAGGTCCTGAGCTGATGGAAATGTAAGCAGTGGGTCACCTGTGGGGAAGCTGTTGCTGCTGTGAGCCAGAATGCTGCTGGTTGTGGGTCTGAGAGCAGAACTGCAGACTTGAGTCCGTTTGCAGAGGGGAAAGGGCAGTACTGGGTCCAGATGATCAAACGGGCAGGTGGACAAACAGGAGAGCAGCTAGCACAGGCAGCAGCAGTTAGGTAGGTTCTGTCAGTAGCTAGGACATGGTGAACTGAAGCTCCTGGGAAAGCTGGGAGTTGCCTGCCTGTCAGCCCTTGATGCCCACACCCAGTAGGTTGGTGGGCACTGTTGCCAGTGCTTTTCCTTAGTCTGGCATGTCCAGTAAGTTGTTGGTTCTAGTTTCCTGACAAAATTTTAATATGTCCATGTGCTCCTCCAGTCCCAGTTCACCCGATGCATTTATAGTATGGCAGCCTTTCTACTCCCAGGAGTCTCTGTGCTGTGGTAGTGCTGAGCAGATATGTAGCTGGAGACTGCTCATTCGCTTTCCGGCCACCCAGACCCAAACAATCACACAGAAATTATATTAATTACATCACTATTTGGCCAATAGTTTTTATTAAGTAACTCTTACATCTTAAATTAGCCGATTTCAATTGTTCTGTGTATCAGTATAAGCTGTGGCCTACCAGTAAGATTCTGGAGTCTTTCTGCATCTGCAACTACATGGCATCTGTCTGACTCTGCCTACTCTCTCTCTCTCTCTCTTCCAGTCTGGCTATATTCTGCCCTGCTGTAGGCCAAGGAAGATTTATTCATTAACCAATAAAAGCAACACATATACAGAAAGAACCCTACATCACAGATGGACGATTCCCATGTCCACCATGTATGTAATCATCCTCCATACTCAAGATGGAGTTCAAAGCTGCTTGTAAAATAGAGATTCTGAGGACAAGGCACAGCCTGAAGAACCAGAATTTTACACAATATAGACTTAGAACAAGCAGGACACAGCCGATCTCAACATTCTCCCTGCCTGCTGGTTCCTTCTGTCTATTCCAGATACCTCATGTAACTGGAACCAGACAGTGTTGACTTTTGTGTATGGCATCTTTTTTTTTTTTAGCAGCATGTATCAGAATATTATTCTTTTATGAATGGATAATGTTCTTTCATGGACTTTCTCCACTTTATTTGTTCATCAGTTTGTGGGTGTTGTGGTGCCTCTTTCTTTTAGCTCTTAGGAATAACCATTCATGAGCAAGTTTTGTGTGAACATGTTTTCCTCTGAGTAAATGCATAGGAGTAGAGCTTTCAGACCACATGCTGATTCTGTTTGGTGTCTTGAGGAATTGCCAGTGCATTTCCCAGAAGGGCTGTTTTATATTCCAGGAACAACATCACCACATTCTGCTGTCCCCATCATCTTTTACAGCCTTCAGACTGATTTGCCTTCCTCTAACTCTGTTTTCCCATATTTCTAAGACACAAGTGGGTCCTAGCACTGTGCTGTTCCTGGTTCTTCCTGAACCCCTTGGTCCTGTTTCCTTTTTAGGGGACTGTGGACTGGCACATCCTCTACCAGTAATGGGAACTGATCCTCCGTGGTGGTGCTGAATCTCTAAATATGGTAAGAGCTAATACCTGCCCAAGTTGTTGGGGACAGTGTTGTCACTTTGTACCTGGGTAAGGGGCATTTTCCTTGTGCAGCCAGGAACACTGCTGGTACACCTGTGGGTGAGGATACTGACTGGCTGTTGCTTTAGGGTTTCAGTCACATTCGTAGGAAAGACAGAAGACTGACGTGTTTCTTTGGGATTGTTATTCTTTCTGTTTTGTTTGTTGAGACAGGGTTTCTCTGTAACAGCTCTAGCTGCCCTGGAACTTGCTTCGTAGACCAGGCTGACCTCAAATTCACAGAGATGCACCTGCCTCTGCCTCCCAAGTGCTGGGATTAAAGGCGTGTGCCACCACTGCATAGCTGAGATTGTTTTTCTAATACACAGATCTTGTATTGTGTTAAGTAGAAGTTGGGTACCCCCAGCCTCTGTTCATTTTGTGGTGGGCAATATCCAGGGTTTACTTTGCATCCTGATTAGCATTGTCTCACAGACAAATTCTTATTCTAGTCTTTACCTCTGGGTGATTGTTGGTGGTTCATTCCTCCATAGCTTTTCATAGCAGTGTAGAATATGTTTGGAAACAGAATTGTATTCATCTGAGCACTACGCTGCTCTTCCTCTGCACATTTCTAGATTCGAATTGCAGCCTTAAATGCCAGCTCCACAATTGAGGATGACCATGAAGGAAGCTTTAAGAGCCACAAAATCCAGACAAAGGAGGCCCAGGTATGTGTGTACTCAAAGATCTTCCTCTGAGGTGCACCTTGCTGCTCATTTTGAATGAATTCAGGCATCTCCTTAATGGAGTTCTAAGGGGAGATTGCATTGTGATGGTGGCTGGATCCATCTCATGTTGGACTTCTTCACTCTAGAAATAGCCATGCTCAAGAGCTATCTATTCTGCCCTTTGTGTTGCTGCCTCTTGCCTACACTTAGTGGTGCTGTGTTTTTCTGTGTGTGCCTGAAAGGGACTCTTTTTTTTCCCCAGTAATGATGTCTGGACACTGAATAGCGTAGCATTTCTTTTGCTGTAGCGGCTGTGGCTGACAGTTAACTTGGCAGTGACTCACAGCCTTCCCATTACACAGAGTTTTGGTTTAAATGGATCAGCTTTTGTGTGGTGTGAACTATCTCCTATCTTGGTTTGCAGGAAGCAGAGGCTTTTGCCTTATACCACAAGGCCCTGGATCTACAGAAACATGACAGGTTTGAGGAGTCTGCCAAGGCCTACCATGAGCTGCTGGAGGCGCGCCTGCTGAGGGAGGTGAGGCACTGGTAGGCTGGGCTGTGGTTTTTGAGAGAAGAGTCTCAACTTTGAAGTCTAGGCTAGCCTGAAACTCGGCTTTCTTGGATGCTGGGATTGTGGGCATGGAACACCCTGCCGAGTGCTTTTCAGTGTTGTCTGTCTCTTGTTTTGCACATGTGTACATGTATGTGTGCATGTGTGTTTGGCTTTAGTTTTTTTCTTTTTGAAACAGGATCTCAAGTAGTTTAGTCTAGTCTTGAACATGCTGTGTAGCCAAAGCTAGCCTTGAACTGATTGTCTTACCCCTACCTCCTGAGTGCTGGTTGGCCTGAAATTCTCTATGTAGACAGACGTTTAACTAACAGTTTTGCCTGTCTCTGCCTCCTGAATGCTATGATTAAAAGTATGTATCATTATGCCCAGACACTTTTTTTGGGGAGGGTGTAGTTTAAAGACAGGGTTTCATTGCGTATCCCTGGCTGTCCTGGAACTCACTCCATAGACCAGGCTGGCCTAGAACTCACAAAGATCTGCCTGCCTCTGCCTCCCAAGTGCTGGGATTAAAGTTGTGTGCCACCACCACCTGGCTCTGGCAATAGTTTTTATTCAGTCATTTCTTAGAAGAGTTAATGTTTTTAAGTCATTGCTATAAAAGCATCAGTGAAATAACGTTCTATGTTAAGGATGTTTATAATCCTTATGCTCTTTGACCTCATGTTCACATTTGCTATCTAGGCTAGGAATTACTGCTCTTTTATTACAGAGTTTACCCACAGCAGCTCTTTGGTTAAAGTAGCTTATTGGTGGTTATATGATGGTTCAGAGTCAGGAGCTTGGCCTTCTGGGGAAAAGCTTTAGGTCCTGCCTGCTCACCCCAGGAAGCCTCTTCACACTTGTCCCTGAGTAGGGGGACTGACTGGACTGGTTTGTCTGCACTGATAAACATTACCAGCTACACTGAGCACCCGAGATACAGCAGCAGGGATGGAAAGGAGTCCCTTGTCTTTCTTGACTACCAAGTTTGTGTGCAGTTCTTCCTGGTGGTTTGGCCTTTTTTTTTTTGTATGATTGGCACTGTCAGGTCTGCCCAGAATGTCTGCAATACCTTAATTTTCCAGGTCAGGTGAACTGGGCTGTCTCAAGCAGTATCTGGCCTGGAAACCAGGTATCCTGTTGATTGCTTGCTGAAGCTGTAGGGATGTGGAGTCACTTCTGTTTCTCTTTTCTCTCAGGCAGTTTCTTCCGGAGATGAGAAGGAAGGGTTGAAACACCCTGGACTGATACTGAAATATTCTACATATAAGAACCTGGCCCAGCTGGCAGCCCAACGAGAAGATCTAGAGACAGCCATGGAATTCTATTTGGAAGTACGGAGTTGGTAGTATTCAAATATCCATTTACACAGTTGATGAGGAAGGGGATTTGATGTAGTGGTAGTGACTGAAAAGAAGAGTTTGTAGTGGTGTCCTACCAGGATTTTGAGCCCGAGGCATTGAATTTAGAAAGGCCTGGAAAGCAGGGTTAGGTACTGGGATGGACTTTGTACCATCAGTATACCCATGACTGTAGGTGACTTACTTCATCCATTTGAGCCTCCATGTCTATGCCAGTATAATGGGAGAAAAGAAGGGGTAAAGCAGGACATAGTGGTACATATCTATAAACCAAGCAGTGGAGGGGCTGAGGTCGGAGGATCACATAGTAAGTTGGAGCAAAGGACTAGAGCCTGACACTTGTATTTGGTGCACTGCAGCCATAATAACATTGGCATTGTTTCTGTTTTACCAGACAGTGCGCCAAGTGCTCTCCATGCAGGCTTATGCCACTTTGCTGGGAGGTTGAGCTTATCCTCATTTCAGTGATGAGGACACAGGCTGAGGTCATTTTGCTAATTAATGTTGGAACAGTGATGTGAACTAAGGTCTTCTCAAAGCCTATAACTTTTCTAGAATTTGTGTAAGACTCCCATATTTTCTTTGTATCCAATTCCTCTTCTTTTGATTTATTTTAAAGATGTATCATATTTTTAATTAAGTGTATGCATGAGTATGTGTGTGTGACTGCAGGTGCTTGCCAGGCCCTTTGGCTTCAGACCCCCGGAGCTGGAATTACAGGTGTGAGCTGACTGACGTGGGCACTGGAATCAAACTCACATCCTCTGCAAACTCGCAGCAAATGCTTCTAACTTCTGAGCCATCTTTTCAGCATCTTATTTCCCCTCCCAAGTACGCACATGTGCACTTGCCAGAGGTTAATGCTGACTGCTATCGTCAGGAACATGTCCAGGTTTTTTGGTGCAGGGTCTCTTATTGACCTTGAGCTCAACCAATTAGAACTAGTCTAGTTGGCCAGTGACTCCCGGGGTCCACCTTTTTCTTAATGGGTTTGGAGGGTCAAACTCAGGTCCTCATGTTTGTTAGGCAAGCACTTTACTGATAGAGCTTTCCCCCAAGAGCCCTCTTTTATGTAAGAGTACAAATGCTTCTGTTAGTACAGTATGTGGAGAGAATGTTCGAAGTTAAATGAATTAGCTTCTATAACATTTTTAAAACTTTAAGTTTTGTGTGACAGTTCTCATGTATTTCAGGGCTATGAAGGGAGAATGACCTTGAATTCTTAATCCTCCTCCTCTGAAGTGCTGGAATTAGAGACATGGGCTCATTATATAACATGTATTTCTTGAGGATTTCATTATGTAGCCTAGGCTGTCCTGAAATTCACTTTGTAGCCCAGATTGGTCTTGAACTTGCTGTCCTCCTGCCTCAGCCTGCAGAGTGTTAGAACTGCAGGTGTGAGTTACCATGCCCTGTTCCATGTGACATTTTTTTTTGTGTCCTTTCTCTGGGTCTTGGACACATGTGACTCTAGAGAACTGAACCAGCATTACTAGTTATAAGCAGGCATAGTGCCTTGCCATGCCATGGGTAATTTGAATGGCTGGGCCAGTGCTTCGTCCCTTTTGTCCCCAGCCTGACTGCTCAGTGAGAAGTCAAGTCATGTGTGTACATGTGCCCTCTGCTTGCACTGCTTCTAGGCGGTGATGCTGGATTCCACAGACGTCAACCTCTGGTACAAAATTGGACACGTGGCACTGAGGCTCATCCGGCTTCCCCTGGCTCGCCATGCTTTTGAGGAAGGACTTCGGTGTAATCCTGACCATTGGCCCTGCTTAGACAATCTCATCACTGTTTTGTACACCCTCAGTGATTACACAAGTGAGTGAACAGAGGAGAGAAGTTGACTTGGGTAAGCTGCTAGCAAAACTGATCTTGTTAGACTTTCTGCCAAACTGAGGAAGAATGAAGATGTTTTTGCATACTTTATTCTGTTTTCCTTTCTTCATTAACCAGATAATGTAAGTATAACAGTAAGATATGTTAATGTGTTCCCTAAAGGATTTCCCCTTTACCTTTGTCCATTGTCCTGTCTTTTTTGGGTTGTTTTTCTTTTCTTTTCTTTTTTTTTAAATATTTATTCATTTATTATGCATACAATATCTGCCTACATGTGTGCCTGCAGGCCAGAGAGGGCACCAGATCTCATTACAGATGGTTGTGAGCCACCATATGGTTGCTGGGAATTGAACTCAGGACCTTTGGAAGAGCAGGCAATGCTCTTAACCTCTGAGCCATCGCTCCAGCCCCCTCTTTTTTTTTTTTTTTCTTTTGAGAAAAAGTTTCTTGTGTCACCTAAGCTAGTCTTGAACTCAAAATGCCTGCCACATTGAGTGATTTAATGGCAGACATTTATTTCTCATTATTTTGGCGGTTAGGGAGTCTAATCAGGGTGCTAGCAGATTGGTGCCTACTCTTGGCTGCTGTGTTGGCCACCTCTCGTGTCTTTACTTGATGGGGTGGGGTTGGGAAACAAGAGGGAAGGTAAACCCACTTCATGTGTATGTGATACTAGGGGTATAGTTCATCCTGGATGGCATTGTCACTCTCATAGCAGAGATGGCTAGACATTTTGAAGGATAAATAGCTGATCACTGTGCGCTCTTTAGATTTCTTTGCAGCAGTTATTAAATATGGAATCACAGGGTTACGGCTGCACAGGAAAGTCACACATCTGTTTGCTTCTGGCAGCAGCTGTGCTGCTCCCCTGCAGGTGTGTGTTCTGGTGTGTTCTAGAAATCACAGTCTCAGCAGTCGTTACTAATTAATTGAGTAGGGTAAGGTGCTAGCTCATCATTGTTGTGCATTCTTTGATTCCTGAGTGGGAACACTTTCCTGGTGTTGACTGGGAGGCTAGAGTTTGGGAAGCAGGCTTATCTCCTCACCTGTTTCTTTCCTGCTAGCATGTCTCTACTTCATCTGCAAAGCACTGGAGAAAGACTGCCGATACAGCAAAGGTCTGGTCCTCAAGGAAAAGATTTTTGAAGAGCAGCCTTGTCTCCGGAAGGACTCACTTCGAATGTTCCTCAAATGGTAAGGCCTGCATCACGTCACCATGTGTGGCTGGTAAGCATCAGGAACATCCTTCGTTCCTGTCTCTGTCCTGATCTGGGTGCAGTTGGAGTCCCTGAACTCCAGGGCTTTGACCTCTGTGCTGCCTTCCTCAACAAGCTTATGTTGACCTGCCTGTTTGTTGTTTGGTGGGGTTAAGGAGTAGGGATTGAACTCAGGGTTATAGCCCCTGCCAAGATTTTGTCAGCAGTACTGCCCAAATTCAGTATCCCAAATGTGTCCCAATCTTGTGCCACCCCTGCCATGCCTCCAGAGCAAAGCTCATTCTGACCTGTATCACCTAGAGGACCTTTGCAGCCTGGGCTCTTCCCTCTCTCTCCCTTTACCTCCTGCTCCCCCCCCCATTTCTTTGTTAGAATTTTCTCAGGTGCCTGGCACATTCCTACCTGACCCCCTTGTGACTTACTATCCTGTCTCTTCACACCTGTGACTGTATCATTCTCCTGTGCTGCTAGTTTTATGTCTACTTAACACAAGCTAGAATCATCTGAGAGAAGGGAACCTCACCTGAGAAAATACCTCCCTAATATCAGGCTGTAGGCGAGCCTGTAGGGTATTTTCTTTATTAGTGATTGATGAGGCATGGCCCAGCTCACTGTAGGTGGGGCCGTTCCTGGGCTGGTGGTCCTGGGTTCTATAAGAAAGACTGAGCAAACCCTGGGAAGGAAGTCAGTAAGCAGCACTCCTCTGTGGCCTCTGCATCAGTTTCTGCCTTGAGGTTCGTGCCCTGTGTGAGTTCCTGTCCTGACTTCCTCCAGTAATGACCAGTGCTGTGGAAGTGTAAGCCAAATAAACTCTTTCCTCCCCAAGTTGATTCTTGGTCATGGTGTTTCATCGCAGTATAGAAACTCTAGCTAAGACCCCTCACCTGTCATGTTCCCACTTCTTCTTGTTTTGCATTGTTTCACCTTACATTGCAATTCTCTGATGGTGCCTCTGCAGCTTCTGAGTTCTGCTGCCCCTCCTCCCCAATCTCTCCACCCAGACAACCCTTCTTGCTGGTCAGGTGTTCTTTGGCCCCTAGCATTCACCTGTAGAGGGAATTGGTGGCTGCTTGTCTCAGGCTCTGTTCTCTATAAGCTTACCCTTGTGCTCATGAATGTCTTGAGTGAACTAATGTTTCTGAGGAGACTCTTAAGTCTCCAGAGTGACTGTAGTGCAGTAGGCCTGCTGGAGGCACCGGGACACACTGGGAGGGCAGGTAGTTCGTCATCTCAGGCTGTGAGTGCTCACCTGAGACCACTCCGTAGTTTGGAGATGCTGTTGATTGTGGTGAACATAATTTGTCTAATGACTTTGTTGGAAGACAGGCGAGGCTTTTCTTTCCTATGGCTTTTTAGACACAAAGGTGATATTATTAATACATACAGAAACCTGTGCCCTGTTGTGAATTGTGGAAGGAGCAGGGGGCTTTTGTGATTCTCATTGTATGTGGGCATATGAATACTGATAACTACTCATTTGAGATCAGAGCCACGTTGAATTTATGTTCAGCAACTATCAAATATTGATTAAAGGGTATTAAATGTATCTATCTCTGTAGAATTTTATCTTTGGTTCTAGTGTTAACTAATTTCCTCCTGTCTTCTATACTTTTAGTGACATGTCAATCCACGATGTGTCTGTGAGTGCAGTGGAGACACAGGCCATTGTAGATGAGGCTCTGGGGCTGAGGAAGAAGAGGCAAGCATTGATCGTGCGGGAGAAGGAACCGGACCTGAAACTAGTGCAACCCATTCCTTTCTTCACGTAGGTCATCTGGTTTCTCTAGGAATATTGGGTGGTCTGGCAAAATATTCCCTGCGCAGGAGGGAGGTCTGGAGGTGTGGGAAGGCTGGTGTGCAATGGCTAGAGAGCTGGACTCATGGACCTCCTTGCAAGCTACTAAGAAATAGGCTCACTCTCTTTAGCATGCCTGGTGTAGGTTGTTCTCCCAACCGCTAGAAATGTTCTTATCTTTTTTATTCTTCTCTGCTGAGCAGGGGAAAGAACACTAACATTTGGCACCATTAACCAGGAGAGAACCTGGCACCCTGGAGATTGTCACAGGTGTGGACTTTCCTGGCTGTTGAGTCTGTGTTCATATGAGGGCCAGATGACAAGTAAGATGTGTAAGATGGGCCTCAGAGTAGCCCTTGTGAGCCCTGACATGTATAAGAAGCCCTTTCCTTCATGGAAGGGGGAGCTGATATTGGTGGCTCACTGGAGTTAGGGTAGTTTAGTACTGCAATAAGCTTTGGCATTTAATTTTTGCTTTAAAAATTTTGACGTTAAAGACAAGCTCACACCTGAAATCCCAGAACCCAGGAGACTGAAGCAGGTGGGTCTCTGATTTTCAGACCAGATTGTATGAGTTTGAGGCCAGCTGGGACTATACAGTATGACTGTCTCAAACATACATATGCATACACATATTCTGCCATTGAATCTTTATCATGTCCTGGTACCAGTATAATCCTAACCTCTTGCCCCTCGGTGACCTTACTCAGTCATTGCTGCTGTGGTGTAGAGCACCTCTCCTGTGTGCCTTCACAGCAGTTCTGGTGCTGGTAGTTGGGTGACCTTGGGGATAATACCTGCTATTCCTTAAAAACTGGGAACAGCGCTGGGTGGTGGTGGCACACCCCTTTAATTCCAGCACTTGGGAGGCAGAGGCAGGCGGATCTCTGAGTTTGAAGCCAGCCTGGCCTACAAGAGCTAGTTCCAGGACAGACTCCAAAACTACAGAGAAACCCTGTCTTAAAAAACCAAAAAATAAAAATAAAAAATAAAAAAAAATATGGGAACAGCTTCTCTCTTTTGTAGAGGATGACATAATGTAATAGAACATTGGGAGTCTCTGCTCGGGTGAGGACCAGGAAGATAGCAGTCACTGCACCTGCTCTGGTGTGGGCTTCTCCACTGTAGCACTTGTTGGAGTCAACACTTTGTTGGTTTTAATAGTGACCAACATGCTGACTGCCTTCTCCCTGCTCTGTTGAGGTCACGGCTCTGGGAATAGTTAGTTCTGCTGAATTTATTTATACAGGCCAATTGGCCTTCAACAGGTGCTGACCAGGTGTGGTACTCATTTCTTTGTAGGTGGAAGTGCCTTGGAGAGAGCTTGCTGGCCATGTACAATCACCTCACCACTTGTGAACCCCCAAGGCCCAGCCTTGGCAAGAGGATTGACCTGTCTGACTACCAGGACCCCAGCCAGCTACTAGCATCCTCTGTAGTGGTTACACCTGTCAGTGTGGTCCAGCCAAGTCCTGTTAACACCAACCCAACTGTCGCTGTGGCTGAGCCTGTGCTGTCCTATACCTCTGTGACCACAGCCAGCTTCCCACTGCACAGTCCTGGTCTGCTGGACACAAATGCTTCCATGGGTGAGTAGACCTTGTGAAATCACATTCTGAAAAGCCTATGTATGTATGTATGTTGAGCCCAGCAGGAACAAGAAGGGGACTTTGGCGTCTCCAGGGAAATACATCACACAGCGTCTCCATGGAAAGGCATTGTGCTGGTCCCTGTGAACTGAGTGAAAATGAGAGCTCCAACCTTGTAGAAAACTAATCAGCCTGGTCCCAGGGCTAGTACAGAAGCATTGACGCTCAGGGGCTGGGACTACAGATGCAGCTCCTTGGCAGATTCCCATTCCTTTCCCAACTGTTAAGTCTTTGCATGCAAGTTCCTCTTCTCCCTTGTGGTGTGACCTGGCATCTCCTTGTTGCTGGTCCTGCTTTCTTGCTAGATACATGCATTCTAAGTTTGTTGACTTTAGAAGACATTGAAGTCGTTACCATGTGTACATTTTTATTACCATTGAACTTGTAAAATGTTTTTACCAAAAGCTCCCATGCAGTTTCTGTCACTACACTCAAGAATACCTGGCACTTAGAGAAGTTTCGGAATGACTGTGGGCGTGGTTGTTTTCTTAGTCACACGTGACACTCCTCTGTTCTCCACATAATTCACGGTTCTCTTTTTCTATTCCCGTCATTCTATATTTGCCCACCTAAGGTCAGTGCCCCTCACCCTGCCTGCCCCAGGCTCATGGATTGAGGCCGCAGAGGCTCATGCAGTTAGTACCGAACGTAGACATGTTCTGAGCCCTGACTAGGAGGTCTCTTCAGTGCAAGAAGGACTCAGGAATGTTTGTTCTTAAAAAGAGATCTCATGACTGTTTCAGAAGAGTTCCGTGTGGGAGACTTGTCAGCACTGGATACGTGGTTGCTGTTTCCCTCGCCTGCCATTGTGTAAGATTTTAATTTTCACTCTTGGCGAAGGTGATGTTTCTGGGGGAGATAAATCTAAGAAAGGTGTAAAGCGTAAGAAGACTTTAGAAGAGAGTGGAGAGACAGCAAAACGGAGGTCCGCCCGTGTCCGAAACACCAAGTGCAAAAAGGAAGAGAAAGTGGATTTCCAGGGGCTTCTGGTAAAGTTCCTGCCATCCAGGTACTGTACTCTTGTGTTTTTTCTGAAGTAACCTGCAGATTGCTGTCTTTTTCTCTCAGCAGCATTTTCATTCTATTAGCTCCCCTCCCTTTAGATACCTCCCTTGTTTCCCTTGACCTTTGCTTGGATACAGAGTCTAGACTGCAGTAGATTGTCTTCTTGGTTTTTTTCACCTCTCCTAAGGGTGTGTGTTTGTTAATATTCAGGCATCTGTGCTGGCCTGCCCTTGGGATTCTGGCAGACTGTGTCCTCAGCTGTAACCACTAAGATCACCTCCTGTGCACATTCACTACATCCCCTTTTAAAGGGCTCTGCCCACCTCACATCTCTCTCTCTCTCTCTCTCTTTCTCTCTCTCTCTCTCTCTTCTCTCTCTCTTTCTCTCTCTCTACCTTTCACTTCTCTTCTGCTGCTCCTGTCCCCAGAAGCCGGTGTCCCTCTTTCCTTTTCCCTCCACATAAACTTGTTGTGTGGCGTCTTTCTCCTGCATGCTGCTTTTTAAAATCACTACAGTGTTTCTGCCTTACTTTGTTTTCCATGATTCCATTGCATTCTGGGAAGATGGAGAAAGATCTAGCTCCTTTATTGATTCTTCATGACCCTCAAAGAATCCTAGGGCAGAAGGTGCTGTCTCAGAAATAGGAGGCACCTAGGCCTGAAAGTCCTTACTGGTCCTCTTCCTTTGGTCTTACCATAGACTCTCTCTCCTGAGCATTCCTAGGATTTATCATGCCAGTGGGCCTGCTTCTTGGTACCCTGTTTCTGCCCTCCCAGCAGAGTGAAGAGAGCAAGTAATGTGCTCTGCTCCATCGTATTTCTCCTTTATGGCATCTGGAGGGCATATTTTTGGTCTTCCAGGACTTCCTCTCTCAACTCCTGTGTCTTTGTGAGTCTAGGGCTTTTCTCCCTTCACCGCTCTCTGAACAGCGTTTGATCAGGTCCACCATCAAGAGATCTTGAGTCTTCGGCATGCATTTTGACAGTGACAGTTTATTTCAGTGGTTACTCCATCAGAGTTCAAGAGGAACCCAGAAACTTTAGCAGACTGTACATCATTTTATGTCAGGATACTTAGCCTCTCTTTTTCCCTTCCCTCCATCTCTCCCATGAGGGTAAAAGTCTTAGATGAAGGTTGTTTTTAGTACACAGCTAAGGAGGACCAAGGTGGAGATGTGATACCTTCCACTGGGTTTCTCCTGAAACGTGCTACAGGGAAAAGTGTCTCTTTGGGAGAGTGAAGGATTGTGTTGTAGTTGAGTGGTCCTGTCTTCCCCTTAACCCTGCTTGGCCTACCCTGTGGTCTCGTTCCCTGCCTTCTTTGTGTGGAGCTACATCTACTTCAAGTCGGTTTCCATGAAGTTTGAATATTTGTTACTGTGAGTGTCCTGAGAGAGACATTTAAAGGTTCCCTAAGTGTTATGCTGGTGCTGGTTGAGGAAGCTACAGGGTGGCTAAACATGGTCCTAAGAGAAGGGTCTGGAGGGTGGTATCTGCAGTGTGAGGAGCCATGGAGGGATAGCTCAGATGGGCTTGATGTGGCCCCACAGCACACTGTGTTCTTCTGCTGGGGCCTCTGCTTGTGCTTAGCTCCTCTGTTGTCAGTCCAAGAGTGTGCGCTCTGGTTCTGCTCCCCGAGGCAGGGCCCTGTGATAGTCGGTCTTTATTTGGGTTGTTTGTGGGTGAGTACCTACTTATGGTCCGCCTCTCACATTGAGAGATAAGCTTGCTGCTGGCCACTTTATAGTTGTAGTCTGGTACCTAGCTTTGTGCCTGGCACATGACTGCTGCTCAGCAGCTGTCTGTGGTGGTATAGAGTAAGTGTGGGTACCGACCAGCCACAGACTTAGGAAGTCTGGAGAGAGCAGCGCCTCTGCGAGGCCTGGGTGGGTGCCCTCATCTGTCTGTTTCAGTGTCCTGCATCTCGGCTCAATCCACTTGCTCTACTAGGAGGACTTGGGGTACTTTGTCACAGTGAGTGGTATGGCTTTGTGATTTGAGCATGTTCCATTTAGGTTAAGAAAACTGGACCCTGAGGAGGAAGATGACCCATTTAATAACTATGAAGTTCAGTCAGAAGCCAAGCTGGAGAGCTTCTCAAATGTGGGGCCTCACCGACTGTCCTTTGATTCGGCCACATTCATGGAATCTGGTAGGGATCAGCAATTCCATCAGTCACTGCTGGGACTCTTCCTTCCATCAACCTGTAACCTGCCTGGGTTTTGTTCTGCATGGTGGTTCTGGGGTGTTTTCTGAGCATTGGTGAAAGAGCTGCTGTAGTCAGCTGAGGGCTCCAGGTGCATGCTTGCTGTGCTCCTGAGGCTGTGTACTTAACACTGGCCTCAGAGGCTTGCCTTTGCAAGTTTAGTATGTGTTATCACATCTATTCTGTGTGTGCTGTGTCCCAGACACTGTGTTTTGTGCATATGATCTCATTCACTGCACATGGGAACACTTGGAGGTTAGCCTTTTTGATATTCATCTTAGACATGGGAACTTTGGGAGGCTTGTTCACCACTGGCAAGTGCTGGAGTCAGCACTGAATGCTGATAAGCCTGATCTTAGCACTGCAGCATGGCCTTATGCTTACCTAGATTGAGTCGGGTAAGAGAGGAGCCAAGTTGTCCTCTTCTGAAGAGAAGAGAAACTGGATGCAGGGGGCCTATTCATCTTGGTGAGGTTATTTTCCTTCTCTGGACAGAGAAGCAGGATGTGCATGAGTTCCTGATGGAGAACTTGACCAATGGGGGCATCCTGGAGCTGATGATGCGCTATCTGAAGAGCATGGGCCACAAGTTCTTGCTGCGGTGGCCCCCGGGCCTGGCAGATGTTGTTCTTAGCGTCTACCACAGCTGGAGGAGGCATAGCACCAGCCTGCCCAACCCGTTACTGAGGGACTGCAGCAACAAGCACATCAAGGTTGGGCCTCTTAAGGGCTATAGTGTCACTGGTACCAGAAGACAGTGACAGGGATCTTCCTCGGGTACAGGACTGCTGTATCCAGAACCTGGACCATTGTGCAGTTTAAAGCAGGGAGCCATATGACCTGCCTTGTGTCCAGAAAACCCCTAATGACTGAATGGGATACTCTGGGGGTGAGAATGAGTATAGCAGACTGAAGGCTGCTGCCAGTTGAGCCATGGTGGTGACAGATTCCATTAATGGCAGTGCAGTGGAGTTGAGGTTCTGGAACACAACTGACAAGATATCTGGACTTGAGTAAGAAGAAGTAAGCCATGGGGACAGTGTCTAGTGTTGTTTACTGAGATGAGAGTGATCATAGGAAAAGGAAAAGGAAACTTTGGCTGTATTTGACAGGCTAGGAACTATTACCAATTTGTAAAAATGTTTTTGTGTGCATACATGGTATTAGGGGCCTTGTCCATGCTAGGTAAGAACTCTATCACTGAGCTTTATTTCTAGCCCTATTGAGGTGAGAAAACAGCTAGGTAGCGTGCTTAGGGGAGTGGTGGCATCCTCCAGCACTTGGGAGCTAAGCCTTGCTCAGCTCTGTCTACTGCATTCCCTATCACAGATTCCTGTTGTAGTGTTTTCTAGAACTCAAGGAAGCAGGCCATCAGGCCCACCTCTCTTGTTGAAGGTAGAATGTCAGGCGCTGAGGTAGGAATGTGGAAAGACATCTATTTTGGTGACTTTTTTATTGCTGATAAAACATCATGATCAAGGCAAGTTAGAGAAGGAAGGGTTTATTTGGGGCTTAGCGCTCCAGAGGGATAGGAGTCCATCACCATCTTGGTGCAGAATATAGCGGCAGGCAGGCAGGCAGGCAGGCAGGCAGGCATGGTGCTGGAACAGCCGCTGAGAGCTCACGTCTCCATCCATCCACAAACTGTAAGCCAGAAACCTCAAGCCTGTCTCCAGTGACACACCTTCCAAACAAGGCCATACTTTCTAATCCTTCCCAAATAGTTCCACTAACTGGGGACCAGTACTCAAACTTGTGAGCCTGTGGCAGCCATTCTCATTCAGATGCCACAGGGTTCAATCCAGGTAATCTTTCTGGTTGAGAGTCAGGCTGGAGTTGACATGTCTGTAGAGCCATTGCTTTGTCACCAAGCTGATCACACTGTGATACCCCCAAGTAGCTTTTTCCTACTAGGCTTTATTCTCTCCAGTAATAATGTGAGTCAGCAGGAGCCAGTGTTTGAAATCCAGAAATGGGGCTGCCCATTTTCCAGCTGTACCTGCTGGCATGCTCCATCTCTGAGTCTTAGCTTCTTTAGTACCCTGATGATGACCCATCACGTTGCTGGCACTTTTAAATGTTGAGAGGTGTCTGACCTGGCAGAGGAGTAAAGTGACAGACAGGTTGCTTCTTCCCTAAGTAGAGCCATCCCTTGTTTTTTCTAAACATTCTGGCAGTAGCCATGGTTATCATTTAGTAAAAAGAATTAAATTTCTATCTATGCCTCAGTGGGTAAAAGAGCTTGCTGCATAGGCCCTGGCAGCCTAAATGATCCCTGAAACCCATGTAGAGATGGAAAGAGAGAACCAACTCTGCAAAGTCCTCTGACCCTCCACAAACGTGCTATAACACACATATACACATCACACACATATGCACATACATATAACTCTAATACAACATTAAAAATGTATAAATAAATTTTAAGCAGTTTTGTAAAAAGCACCTTTGGTGCTGAGAATGCAGCTCAGTTGGTAGAAAGTTTGCCCAGCATGCACAAAGCTTGGGTTGATTCCCCAGCCCTGGAACAAACAGGTGGATATGGTGGCACAGTGTACTCCCAGTGCTTGGGAGGTGCTAAGGCAAGGTACAGAAGTTCAAGGTCAGCCATTGGCTACATAGTCATTTGAGCCAAACTTGGGATACATGAGAAAAGTTGGTTTTAGTTTGGTCACCTCCTGATGTGGTGAGTCTTTGTGGGTTTGCCCCGCCCTCCCTATGCTTGTCCTACAGGACATGATGCTGATGTCTCTCTCCTGCATGGAACTCCAGCTGGACCAGTGGCTGCTGACCAAAGGCCGGAGCTCGACAGGTAGGAGGCATTTGTATTCTTGGCGTGGCGTGGTAATTTTTCTGAACATCACTAGGCTGGAGGAAGCCAGAGTGGTGAGACTGGGCCATGCAGTCCCTGGGCACCTTCTCTGAGATGGCTTTTCAGTATTTCCGCTAAATCCCCCGACACTCTGGCAGCAGAGGCAGCTGTAGGTAGCACTTAGCTGCTGTTTCCATTACTTGGGATTTGAGGAAGTAAACTCCCAGCCTTGGAGTGACTGCTCAGTGCTGTATGTGTCTCCAGTAATTTTCTCAGATTATTCTTTTAAAATTTCACTTGGTAGAATATAGTTAAGTTCAGTGAAGTTAGCAGCCCCCTTTCTCCAGCTCTCATGTTCTCTGTGACTGTCTGACTCAGCTATTCTGTATCCTGCTGCTCAGGGGCTGTGGGACTCTGAGGACTCAGGGAACCTAATCATGGGCACTTGGGGACTACTACCAGAGGGCTGAAGGAGGCCTCTGGGAGTGGAAAGGTGTTTGGATGATGCACATGAAGGCGTCACATTGCCCGGATGTTTTCTAGTGTCCCCCCGGAACTGCCCTGCTGGTGTGGTGACAGGTAGGTTTGGGCCTGACTTCCCAGGAACCCACTGCCTGGGTGATCTCCTGCAGCTGTCATTTGCCTCGTCTCAGCGGGACCTCTTTGAGGATGGCTGGCTGGAGTTTGTTGTCCGTGTGTACTGGCTGAAAGCACGTTTCTTGGCACTGCAGGTTGGTTCCATGGTGAATGTGCCCCCACACCTGACAGGGAGGGCAGAGAACTGGCTGTGTTGAGGAAATAAGCATTTGTAACTCTTGGTGTGAGGAAGTGAGGCGTTTTGGGAATTGCCAGCATGTCAGTAGTCAAAGCATGGCTGCCATTCTGGAAAGCACCTCAGTGCCCACCACAGGGCTTTGGAAGGGATCCTGTATTCTCCAGCGACCTCTGCTCAAAATTGCCTTGATTGATCCTTTTATTTTCCCGTGAAGGCTCAGCAAGAAATAGAAATAGGAGCAGGATGCTCCAAAAGGAATTACTCACCTGGCTTCTTAGAGCCTAGGTGGGACAGCCAGAGTGACTCGACTGTTCCCCAGTACCCTTCTCTGCTGGTACTTGGTGCACCAGGAGAGTATCAGAGATAGCCTGGATCATAGTAGCTCAGTCTGGGGGAAGCAGCATGGTTAATGTGAAGAATGTCAGTTCTAGAGTTAGGACAGGCCTTGGTTTAACTCTGGATTGGCCAGACACCTGGCTGTGCTGAGGTGGCATTGGTGTCTTCACCTGTGACATGGTTAATGAAACTTTGTCTCACAGAGTTGTGGAATGGATCCCTCTTTATTCACTTAGTCACTGAAAGGGATTTGTTTAGCCCCACTTTTCTGGAAAGCCCTTTTCGGTGGTGGGGAAAGAGACATAACAATAATTGAAGACCTTAGCTTACTGGCACATGCTTGTAAATCCAGCACTTAGAGGGGGAGAGTTTAAGGCCAGCCTTGTGCTACACAGTATAAGATCAGCATGGACTATGAGACCATCTCTTAGCAAATAAACAGAAACCAGCCTAAGGGTGTCTGTGCCTAGTGAGATCAGGATTGTGTCGGACCGAACAACACAATTAGCTCTCTACTTTTTGCCACCTTTTTTCGTTTTTCTTCTGACCAGGGAGACATGGAACAAGCCCTGGAGAATTACGACATCTGCACAGAAATGCTTCAGAGTTCCAGTGCCATCCAGGCAGAGGCAGGAGCTGAGCAAGGGGACATTGTCATCCGGCTGCCCAACCTCCATAATGACTCAGTTGTTTCTCTGGAGGAAGTGAGTAGATGTCTTTAATAGTATTTTCTTAGTGGAAGATATACTCTGGTTGATCTAGTCAGACTAGACCTGATCTGCTCCTGTGGAATAAGCGATGCCCACATGCCAAGCAGAAGGTCCTGGGGTGGGAGTAGGGGGCAGCGCAGGGTTAGAGAGACAGTCCTGATACAGATTCCACTGGCAGAAAGCTTGTCCAGCTGGCAAGTGTGGAAGCTGTGACCAAGCGTGATTCAGAAGGAGTGGTTGATCAGCCACAGCAGGACTGGAGGGAAGTGCTGGCTGTGCAGACCAGTGTTAATCTGACTGCACACAGGACTGGAAGAAATGTTGTGTGTGCCAGACTTCTGCTGGATGGCACTCTCATGTGCGTCCTCTGCCCTGTTGCAGTCTGTATCTGTGATGTGTTCACATGACTGAAAGCGTCTACATTACTCTACCTTTGTTTCAGGACAAGGCCAGGCATTCTGCTGCCTGTGTGCCAGGGCTACATTAGGCCCTCTGTGAGGAAAGGGCCCTGTGGATCAGTAATGCATGTCAATCCCCTGGCTCTTTCTCTGGGTCTTTGGCAGTCAGGCAGTCCATGAACAAGTCTGGCTTCATGAACTTTCACACTGTTTTGGCAGATACTATTCAAGACCCCCTCTGCTTTTGTAGTGGCTGTGTGTTTTGCTTTTAAAGACTTGAATATATCTGGATATTAACATAACTATTTTTGAAGGAGTATGCACGTTGTATGAACACTGTTATTAAGTGCAGAACCTAGTGTATTTTGGCTGAAACAGTGCTAGAGTATAAGCTTATCTTTCTTATTTAGATGGGAAGACTCAAACATTGACTAAATTCAGAGAGGAGGTGAGAGATTTGCTATTAGGCAATATTATTGGACCTTTTTCAGATTGATAAGAACCTGAAGTCTCTGGAAAGGTGCCAGTCGTTGGAGGAGATTCAGCGGCTGTTTGAGGCAGGTGACTACAAGGCAGTGGTGCAGCTGCTCCGGCCCACCTTGTGTACCAGTGGGTTTGACAGAGCCAAACACCTGGAGTTTATGACTTCCATTCCTGAGAGACCAGCCCAACTGCTTCTACTGCAGGTATGTGCTCACCATCCATGTTTATATTGCCTTTACTTTGTGTGTGTGTACACCTCTGGAAGTTCTGAGCTTGCCTTTGAAAACACATAACTGGAAGAAAACAATGGGAATTTAGCCTAACCTCGAAGATAATGCTAGATCTAGATAAAAGTTACAGTCAAGACTGTGATAATGTTAGAACCTAGGAGTTCAGATTTTAGTATTAGTTGTGGCTCAAGGTGAGCCCACACTTGACTGAACTTAAACCAGCAAGAGGAAAGAATGGTCAAGGTATCATCTACCTATCTACTCATTTGTTAATCTGCTTTTTTGCATTTAACTTAATTTTGAGTAGATGTAAATTGATAAGATCTGCACAGTGTAAAGAATCAAGATAAAATCCAGACTCATATTTGACTGCGTGTTGAGGAAAAATGCTAGTGCTGTGTTTGAAGTCATGTGTGCCCTCCTGTCTCCTCTCATGCCCTTGTTCGTGATGTTAGTGCTGCACAGCCATATACCAAGCACTGTGGAGATGCCCTATCATTAGTACCATACTCCCCTCTGTCCTGACTTGCATTAAGACAAACATGGATGGTAGTAATTATTTTATGACAAGCCTGGAATCCTGTCTCCTTATGGTTTATACACTAACTACAGTATATACATTAACTTATTGAGTCCTTTCCCTTCCAGTTTGGAAAAAGAGTACAGCAATATTCCAGCCTTTACGGGTTTTTGTTTGTTTTGTTGGTTGGTTTGCTTTGCTTTTCGAGACAGGGTTTCTCTGTGTAACAGCCCTAACTGTCCTGGAACTACTTCTTGTAGACCAGGCTGACCTCGAACTCACAGGATCTTCCTGCCTCTGCCTCCCGAGTGCCAGGATTAAAGATGTGCTTCACCACTTCCCGGCTTCCAGACTTTTCATTTGGCATTTTAGCCATTAACTTTGTTGAACTGGGAAATACCCTTAGAGGCTTGGCTGTGAGAACAGTTGGGGACGCTTCTCAGCCATGGTAGGAATGGGGGAGAGAGATGGTTTAAGAGTGAAGAGAGGTAGAAGGCATGCTTTAGGTCCTCCTAGGTGAGGAGGACACTGGTGAGACCTAATGAAATGTGTCTGACTTTATTTACCCTGAGGGGTTGCTTAGAATGATGGTGTGTGGAAAGATAGCCTTTGATGAATGATCCAGTGAAGTGTAAGTGGCAAACAGGAGGCAATGGCCAGCCCTCTCCACTCTGTAGGATGGCACTAATGCTCAGATGTTATCTTGTTCCTACTAGTGATATCATCAGTAGATGTGGCTCATTCCTTGGGAGGAGTGTTACCCTGTGTTAGGGGCTGCTCTGAGGTCTGGACTATGCACTATGGAGCTTCTGTTTCTAGGAATAAGTGATTTCCAATTGTTGCTGTTTGTTTTCTATTGAAAATGTTTTCTTATTGATTGGAGTGACTTAATAATTAAAGGTAGTCTTTTCTCATTGGATCTTGATAGTTTTTTGTTTTTTTTTTTTTGTTCAGTATGTTGTTTACTTTTTTCTTTTTGAGACAGGGTTTCTCTGTCCTGGAACAGGGTTTAGCTGTTAAAATGTTATAACATTTTTTATACTGGAACTCATTCTGTAGACCAGTCTGACCTAAAACTCACAGAGATCTGCCTGCGTCTGCCTCCCAAGTGCTGCGATTAATGGTATGTGCCACTATCGCCCATGAGTCACCACAGCCAGGCTTGTTTAGTTTTAAATCATGACTTTTATTGTTGTTTTGTTTGTTTTTATATGCAAAGTTCTCAGCTTTTATGTTGTCAGAATCTTTTCATATTTGCAAATGGTTGTGATTTTGTTCATTGTAAGTTGTTTCATATGCTTAGATAACATTTTTTATACTGGACCAATGCTCATCTACTCAAGTTATTCCGCATAGAGGACTGGAGCTCCTCTGAGTACCTGGCGGTGGTCAGGAAGGCTGTCGTGTTCTAAAGGAGGGAGAAGGCTGGACACTCACCAATAGAGTTGAAAGTATATTTGCTCTTACTGGCCTACAACAGTGGCCATGTTTTATGTTTTGCATGTTTTAACTTGCCTGCTTTGGTGTCTCTGGAGTGGGGATCAAATTCAGAATATTTCTCATGGTAAGGGAGATACAGGAAAGAGTTTCCAATTTAGCAAGCTGCTTTTTATGTTCCTCAGTATAGCAGTGGTTCCTTCTTGTTGAGTTGTTGAGTTAATCTTTGGATGTTACTATTTTGGGTTGTTAATGTACTTTTTATTTGTACATTGTTGGTTTCTAAGAACTCTACTGATCATTGCCTGTTTATTTAAACCTGGTCTTTTAATGAGAATCCCTTTTTTTTTTTTTTATTGTTTTCTGTTTGTTTGACTATACGGTAGTGTTGCCCACAGAGAGTGGTAATTTGGTTTCTACACTAGTTGGCAGCTGGTCTTCTGCTTTTTTCTAATTCTGGCCCTGAGCTGTAGGTTCTGTTAGAGCACTATTGGCTACCCCTCATCTTTGCCAACTTTGGAAATCTGTGTGCACACTGTCTTATATCTGCCTCTTGAATGTTCAATTTTGATCAGAAGGAGTCAGCTTGCGTTTGGGACCCCATAAGTATATTCCGTAGCTCCTTCCCCAGTGACTTCTTCTTCAAGGAGGCTGCTTTCTCAAAGAAACAGAGGCTCCCTTTTCCTGACTTGGTGAGTTGGGAGAAAGTTTTGTGTTCAAATTTTGCAATATTTTCTGAAGGCATTTGGGACCTTTCTGCTCCTGTACCTGTGCCACCCCAGAGAAAGGTGAATAGGAGCTGCCTCCAGACCTAGGCTTGTGGTTGCAGGGGCAAGGAGTGGGCCAGAGCCAGATGACACACGCAGGCAGTAGGTGCTTCCTGCTGATCCAGCAAGCTGCCTGTCAGATGTGTGACTTCACAAACTGTTTGCTGAAGCACGAGTCATTGATGAAGCCCATTTCCCTGGGGTTTAAATGGGTTATATTCTAGGCCCCCTCTCCTTCCTCAGAGGAGCTTTATAGAAAGTCGATAGCTTCCCCGGAGGTTTTAAAGTAGACATCATGACTCTGTGTGGTGTCATAAGAGCCGTGTGTGTCCTGCGCACTGTGCTCAGTGTGGCACACATTTCAGTTCATGGAACTGTACCTTCAAGGGGTGATGCCATGGCGGAGGCTCACATGTGCATTGGGGAAGAGGGAGCTCACAGAATGATGACTTCATCAGTTACTGGCCATTTGTCTCTTCTGAGGCATCAGTTCATGCCCCCTGTGCTGAGATAGTTCCTCCCTGGCACGTTGCCTCAGTGGAGGGACATGATACATTGGAGAAGTGTCTTAGTTACTTTTCTGTTGTTATGAAGGGACACCATGACCAAGGCCACTTATAAAAGAATATTTAATTGGGTACTTGCTTACATTTTCAAAGGGCGAGTCTGTGACTGCCATGGTGGAAAGTGTGGCAGCAGGCAACCTCTGGAGCAGTAACTAAAGAACATGTATTCTGATCTGCAGGTTGGATGCAGAGAGAGTGAGACTGGGCCTGGTGTGGGCTTGTAAAGCCCCAAATCCCACTCCAGTGACACACCTCCTCCAACAAGGCCACACTTCCTAATCCTTCCCAAACAGTTCTACCAACTAGAGACCAAGCATTCAAACACGAGCTCATGGGAGCCATTCACATTCAGGTCAACACAAGAGCTAATAAATGAATTAGTCACTTAGGCCCAGCTTTAGAAATGGGAAGATTTAGGCACAAAAGTAAAACATTTTTTAAACACCCCCCCTCCCCCCTGGCTGGTGGCCTGCCATACTGCCATCACACCCAGTCCGTGCAGACGCCTTAGGCGAATGAAAACTGCTGAAGGACGACTGCTCTTGGTCCTGTGTTTCCTCCCAGCCTTAGGCCTATGGTTCCCGTGTGTAGAACTCACACATACTTTTCGTTTTGCTTCTTCTTGTGCTCAGGACTCATTGCTCCGGTTGAAGGACCACAAACAGTGTTTTGAATGTTCTGACGTGGCTCTGAATGAGGCTGTCCAGCAGATGGTGAACTCTACTGAATCTGCAGCCAAGGAAGAGTGGGTGGCTACAGTGACCCAGTTGCTGCTAGGCATCGAGCAGGCACTGTCATCAGACAGCAGTGGCAGCATCCTAAAGGAATCTTCCTCGACCACTGGCCTTGTCCGGCTCACCAATAACCTCATCCAGGTAACCCCGGCTCCTCTTCACACTGTACTGTCTTCAGCTGATGTATCTCTCCAATACAGCCTTCTGAGGTTCACTGTTAGTCACTGTGACTTATGTACTCCAAAGGTACACGTTGACTTCTTTGACTAGAACTTCAGAGTTTGAGGAGTTCGCTGTCCACAACTGCAGACCTTCTGAGACTGCCTTGTGTAGCACCTGGGAGAACAAAGGTTCTCAGACTTCCTGTTCCCAAGGGGCAGAAATAGGCTTAGCGAGGAGGGCTTGTGTGTCAAGAGGCAGAGTGAGGATTAGAGTCCAAGCCTGGCCCCCTGCTGGGGTTCTGCACCCCCACAATACCCCAGAACTTCCAGTTGAGGGGTAGCACTTTAAGCCATAGATTGGTCATAGTACCTCGCGTCACCCAAGGTGGGTTTTGAGGCAGAGAACCCTCATTTGAGAGCCCTCTGCTGTCTTCTGAACTCACGCTCTGGCATGAGTAAGTCCTGCTACACCATTACTACTCTAGTGTTTATTTTTTCCCTCCATTTTGTTCAGCAAAAACCAGGTACCTGCCATTTCTTTCATGAACTGTGGTATCCCTATAGTAGTTCTTTCTGTACCTTCTACTTTTTTAGCCCAGCTACTGTTCTGCCACAGAGGCACCTTTTAAACACTGAAATATGACTGTCTTCTCATTCCTTGAACCCTTTACATATTGAGTGGGTAGTGTATCAAAGTGTGCTGATCCCCAGCCTGCTGCTCCTCTTTTACTTTGTTGACTGAAGCTATTCTGGACCACCCTCTGGGATCCTTGCCTGTGAATGTGCCCTCTGCCCTCATGCACTGCCCACTCTGTGTGTTGGTCATACCGCAGTAATTTACCTGGACACCTCAAGGGCTTGTCTCTGATCACTATCTACCTGAGACCCCTGCCGCTGCTCCTGCTCTCATGGTAGCATCTGTGTGTGCCCACCGGACTCAGTTTCTCCAGGCCTGTTTTCCCCTGGACTGTTAGCTCCCCTTGCCACAGTCAGTAGTTGCATGTGGCACGAGGAAAGAACGTGTAACTGTCATTGGGCATTGAGGGACTCTGTCTGATGATAAACTGGGTGCTGCTAGGTCAGTATTCCCATGTTAAAGCTGTAGGGGTAGGCAGATGTTATACCTTGCCTCTCCCAGAAGGCACTGCAATCTAGGCTCAAAACAAGGGGGCTGGGGAGGCTGACATGCTACTGGTGCCCTTTGCCAGGTCATCGACTGCAGCATGGCTGTACAAGAGGAGCCCAAGGAGCCCTATGTTTCCTCAGTGCTGCCCTGGATCATTTTGCACAGGATTATCTGGCAGGAGGAAGACACCTTCCGTTCCCTGTGCCACCAACAGCAGCTCCAGAACCCGGCAGAGGAAGGTGTGTCATCACTAGGTTTGGAGGCATGGGCCTGATACCTGTCCTTGTCTGCTGTGTGGTAGGGCCTTGAGGCCTTATGCAGGTATTGTGAGTAGGCACATTCTTTAGTGAGCTGTCACATTTGTTTAGCCTCTGGGGCACTGTTGTATTTTTTTATTAGAGGCCATGCTATGGGTACCCACAGATCATGGAGACCCTTTTGTTGCTGCTCAATTTTTTTTTTTAATTATAAACTTCTAGTAATGAATGTCTGTAGAACTCTTGACAAATAGTACTAAATTGTATTCTCAAAAGACTTTACTAGTGAAAAATGTATATCTATAAATGGTTATTATTTTTCTTATAAAAATGAAAGTTAATTATGCATACCAAAGAGTTTTCTGAAAGCTACTGGAAAATGCTGGCCATGGTGGCATGCACACTTAATCCCAGTACTTGGGAAGCAGAGGCAGGTAGATCTTTGTGATTGAGTTTGAGACCAGTCTAGTCTAGCAAATTCCAGAAAGCCAGAGCTACATAGAGAGAGATCATGTTTCAGGAAAGAAAAGAAAAGAAAAGAAAAGAAAAAGAAAAGAAAAACAGGCAAGCAAGTTGTGAGCAGGTAAGTAAACAAGCGGAACTAGTGCCCTCAGCTGAAGCAGCACATCCAGGGAGGAACAGACTTATTCTTGTGGACAGGCAGGTGTGGTGCTGTCTCTTCCCCCCATTCTGTGAACTGAGGGATGGGAGGTGACCAAATTCTGGGACAAAAATCCCAATACCTTCCCATTTATAGAGAGCTGAATAATGAAGACATGCCCCAGAACCATTTGTCCTTTTTAGAGGAAGGGTAAGGGGTACTTCTGTCCTCCTATGACCAGACTTAATTCCAAGGACGTGGCTCAGGATTAAGTACATTTCTGGCTGAGTAGTGAGAGACTTTATATGAGCTGAGTTTCTCAAAATGGACCATGCTTGTAAAATGATTGGAGAAGCAGCAGGATTGGCCAGGAGAAGTTAGCCTGTGGTGCTGGCTGACAGACCCTGGCTAGGCTGTCAGGGAGCTCTGAAGGGACAGAGCCTTTTGAGAGCTGTCCTGCTGTCTCATGTAGTCACTGGCTGGGGGCTCGTGGACGTGCATGGCCTCAATAAGTCCTGCAGCTGTTGTAGACACTTAAGGAGCTGACAGCTGGAGATAGCAAGTCCTGCCCAAAGGGAAATCTCAGGGGGTGGGTACCAGACCCTCGGTTTCTCCTCTACCTCTGTGGACATGCGAAGAGTTAAAACTGTAGCTTTAAGGAAGGAGAGGCAGTTTTTGCATGGCAGAAAACTCATAATTTTAAAGAATAACCATGTAGGTGACTCCCAGAAACCTGTAACTCCAGATCCAGAGCACCCTGGCTTCCATAGGTACTCCACACATGGCAGACACAGACACACATACACACAATAAAAACTAAGGCCTTAAAAAAAGGAAACTAAAAAACCCACAAAGTCTGAATGGTTTGAGCCTTTATTATCTGAAGGGATTTTTTTGGGGGGGAGGGGGTTACTTTTTTTTTTGAGGGACTGACCAGTAGTAAATTTTTGTAAAAGACATTTAAGCTATGTGTAGCTGTGTGCAATGCCTTCTGGTATTTTCTGTTTTAAAACGTTCTCTTTTAATTTACTTCGCCCCCACCCCTAAAGAGCCAGTTAAAAGGTCCTAATGGCTTATGTATGGCCCAGAGTTTCAAGAATACTGAGACTTTTTAAGGAACTAATAATAATTTAATGGTGAACAAACATTTAATGATAAGTTAATAGTTTTTCTCCCCTTCTGCAATATTCAAGTAAACCTAAATGTGAGAGTTTTCAGAAGTTGTTCATATAGTATGTGGTCTGTTGTTGTAACTTGTCCTTCTCTTTGAAAAGCACAGGGAGGTGCTCTGAGTGATGTGCAGCAGATGCTAGTGTTGGTTCTCGGGTGCTAGGGCAGTTCTAATTTGTGAGAGAAGCCCTCATTTACATTTTTCTATATGATTTCAGTTGATTTTTGATAAACAGATTGCTTATTAAAGCCAGTTAAGTAATTACTTGGACAGAAAAAGGAAAGAGAACCATCTGGTCATATGACAGAGAGAAGAGAAAACAAGACATGGATGCAGTCCTTTTGCCACTGAGTGTTTGCACTGATTGTCTGTTGGTCCGGCCTTTCCCAGGGATGTCGGAGATGCCCATGCTCCCATCTTCCCTCATGCTGCTCAACACAGCTCATGAGTACTTGGGCAGGAGGTCCTGGTGCTGCAATTCAGATGGGGCGCTGCTACGATTCTATGTAAGTGATCCCTCTGGGTCATAGGCTGCCAGTACGGGGTTGGGACAAGTGGGAAAGACGACAGAACCCTGGTGGTTCCCTTGCGCTTGTGTTTGTCTTCCTGTAGGGGTTCCCATTGTGGGTCTTTGATTAATGCGTATGTGTAATTGAAGAAACTTGAAGAAAATCTGAACTTGCTTCCAGTGACTTTTTTATTTCTTCTTCTATCACTGTGACAAAACCCATGAGCTAATCATCTTTAAAGGAGTAAAGATTTCTTCTGGCTCATGGTTTCAAAGACTTGAGTCCGTAGTTAGTTGACCCCATTATCTTAGAGCCTTTAGCATACATCGTGATGAAAGCACACAGGTCCTGATTGTTCAGTTGGTAGCTATTACAGCAGCTTGGGACAGTTTTCTTGAGCCTGCCAACTGGGCCTGACTGGCGGTAGCTCTGGGCTTATTGGAGATACGCAGCATGGACCCAGTCTCCGCTGAGTAGGAGGCCAGTTAGCACCAGACTGATTACAGCACATCAGGTTTTTTGGATGTACCAAGGAAGAGACATCCAGTCCAGTCTGTATACCTGCTAATAAAGTTTTATTGGGGCATTTATTTACATAGCAATTATGGCTGCTTTTACTATGCATTGATAAGGACAAGAAGCTGTAAGTCTGTATGGCTTGAAAGGCCTAAAATCTTTGTTCTTTGCCCTTTAAAAAGCTTGCTGTCTTCTGCTGGGTAATGTGTGTTTGGTGGGTATATCCTCTGCAGCTGCAGCCTTCCTCCTCCGTGCCTCCCTAGTTTGTCCCATCTTAGTACAGTCTTACCACCTATTAGCATACTCCATAATTTACGTATTATGTTTATTATTTGACTTTCCTCTGCTGGTGTTAAATTCAGAAAGAGTAGGTATTTTTGTTCACTTGGTTCGCTGCTGAATCCAAGTGCTCAATACAGCACCTGGCACTAAATAAATGCAGGTTTGTGTGAATCAGGGCTCTCTAGAAGAACAGAGCCAATGGAACTGATACTAGAGGAGATTTAGTAGACTGACTCACAGGATACAGTCGGGGTAGTCCAGTGATGTGTGTCTCACAATGGAAGCGCTGAGCATCCAGTAGGTGTTCAGTCCATGAGGTTGGATGCCCAACAATCCCAGTCTGATGCTGGACTGTGGGGGGATTCCTGGAGAGCTGATGATTTCAGTCTATGTTGAAATCCTGAAGAAACTGGACTTTTTAAAAATAAATTTATTTATTTTACATAATACCAGTTGCTGCAATAGGATAGATGTACTTGCCAATAAGAATGACGGCAAGAAGCAAAACTTCCTTCATCCATGTCCTTTTATGTGGGCTGCCACCAGAATGTATAGCTTAGATTTAGGGTGGGTCTTCCCACTTCAAATAATCCAATTAAGACAATCCCTCACAGGAGTGCCCAGCAGCTTGGGTTTTAGCTGATTCTAGATGTAGTCAAGTTGACAGCCAAGATTGGCCATCACAGGGTTGAAGGAGGCTAGAAGTGTATGGAACTTTTCTATGCATATGACAGCTAGAAAAGTCTGCATTACTGTGCAGAAACCAGCCACTACCCTCACTCTTCTACCAAAGTGCAGACACTGTTTCTAGGAGGTCTCCTCAGGCAGCTCTCTCATAACCTGGGAACATGGCTCAGTAGTTTCTGTACAGGATGAGTTCCTGAGTTCAGGTCCCCAGAACCTGCGTCTTATAGTTACTGTTGCTATGTTGAAATACCATGACCTAAAGCAAGTTGGGGAGGAAAGGGTTTATTTAAACAAAGGCTTATATTTCCATCTTTAAAGGACGTCAGAACAGGAACTCAAGAAGGCAGAAACCTAGAGGCAGGAAATGATGCAGAAGCCATGGAGGGGTGCTGCTTTCTGGCTTGCTCCACATGGCTTGCTCAGCCTGCTTTCTTAGAGCACCCAGGATCACCATCCCAGGGATGGTACCACCTGCAATATGCTGGGCCCTCTCACATCAACCAGTAATTAAGAAAATGCCTTACAGCTGCATCTTATGGAGGCATTTTCTCAATTGAGGCTCCCTCCTCGCTGATGACTCTAGCTTGTGTCAACTTGACATAAAACTAACCAGCACACTATGTAAGTGCCTGTGGGCATGGCAGCTTGCCTGTAATCTCAGTGCTTAGAAGGCAGAGACGGACTCCCCAGAGAAAGTTGACTAGCTAAACTAGTTGTATTGTCATGGTCTGGGTTCAGCTGAGAATTTGCCTGTCTGCCTCAGTGAATAATGTAGAAAGTAATTGAGGAGGACTCCCAGTGTCAGCCTGTGACTTCTGCACACATGTACAGAGATACTCATACATACAGGTGAAACCATACACATGCAGATACTCATAATACACACACACACATGTGTACAATACCTTTGCAGGCTGTCTATGTTGGGGAGTAATGCAGGAGGGAAGAGTAGGCCAAAGGGCCAGTATATCGTCCTCTTCCCAGGTTTCCTGGTCTGTGTGTCTTGAACGCTGATTTCCTAAGCCTGATGACTTGAGAGACAAATGACCAGTGCTGCTGTGTTTCTTCCAGTTCCTCAGTTTCTTACCCAGGACCCCTTGGGAGTCCTCAGATTCCCTACCAAAGTGCTTTCTTTGGATCCTGAGTAACTCACTCCCTTTTCTTCCCACCTTTTCCAAGAGGCTTTTCCCATTCTCCCTACCCTTTGCCACCTGCTTCTGGCACCTTGTAGCTTGTGTTTGTGTCTCTCTGCTATTCAGCAGCATGGCTGAGATCAAACAAGACCTTCCTGTCCTGCAGTTTGAAGCATCTCTAGGGATGTGAGCAGTGGCCGACAGAGACTTCTGCCCAGTTTCTTGAATGATTGCCTGAATACAAGAATAACTTAAAGACATTCATTCTCTTACCCAAAAGTCTTAAGTGAGCACTCACCATTCTAGGTGCTGTGGGAGTTAGGAGTGTGAATAATTACCATCCAGGTCTATGATCTAAATAAAGGGTTGTCTTTTTTGAGACAAGGTCTCATGTAATCCAAGTTGACCAAAAACTTGCTGTGTGGCCAAAGGTGACCACCTGATCCTCTTGCCTCCACCTCCTGAATGCTGAGATAATGCCTGTGTGCCCACTATTACCCAACAAGGATTGTGTCTTGAGAGAGTGCTTTGAGGCTAACATCTGGAAGCCCTTTTGATTGAACAGTTGTCTCTCCTTGGATTGGTTACAAATGTCCTCTGAAAGACATCCTAGTAGATTGTATCTTGTCTTGATTAGGAATTAGTATTCCTTTTCTGGTGTTTTGTGCTAACTGAGGAGTTCTTATCCTCAGACAGTCCCTCTCCTGTTAGCCACTCCTTTCTGGATGGTGTCTCTTACCTTGTATCCTGTGTGCTCAGATTGTGTGCATACTAATAATCCACTGTATTTGCTGGAAATGTGCCTTCTGTTAGAAACAAAGATAACAGGAAGATGTGTATGTTGGTCATTAAACAAGTTTTCAGACTTAGTTATTACATATCTACATATTAGTGAGCAATATATAATTGATGGAATTTTAATATTACAAAATTAAAAATACATGTTATTTGTGCACGTGTTTGTGTGTAAGAGAGTGTGTGTGTGAAAAAGAGGCATAGGGACAGGCAGAGAGTGACATGAAGAAACAGAAGAGAGAGACAGAGAGCAAGCACATGTGCCATGTTGCATGTTCAGAGATCAGAGGACAACTTTTAGGGGTTGGTTCTCTTCTTCCACATTGTGGGTTCTGGGGATTGATCTCAGTTTGTCAGGCTTGTGGCAAGTTCCCTTACCTGCTAAGCCATATCACCAGCCCAAATTTTAAAACCATATAAGAAAATATTCTATAGTATTTAACTTCTTGTAGCTTCTTGCCTTTATTCATTTCAGTGCACAAGTATATTCATATTGACAGAAGTAAGTCTCATTTGCTTTAACTGCTTGGTTAGATACCATTGTGTGTATATATAAGCTATTTATACTTCTAATATGGAAAATCCCAAATATATTTTTAAAAGGAAATAGTAGTATAGTGCAGTTAGAAATCTGAGTGCTAAGTCATTATTTTGATACATGGTCACTCCCATGCTGTCCCCATCCCATCTTACTCTTACGTAAATCTTAGACATTGTATATTATTTTGTCTGTAATTACTTGTTTTCATAATTTTTTTTTTAAATCCCCTAACAGTGGTATTAAGGTTTTTATCCATTTGGGAACAAGTGGTATGGTGGTAATACCTACCACCAGGTTGTATTCCCGGTGTGTGTGCACATGCTTGTAAAAAGAACGCCCAGCAGGGTGGAATACTCTTGATTTCTCACACTTGGAGTGGAGAGGTAGGAGGATTTGGAGTTTGAGGCCAGCTTGAGCAAAATAGTAAGACCCTGTTTCAAAAAACCCAAATGACAAGGCTAGCCTTGTGAAACACCAACCTGCAAAACTCCAAACCTCACTTACTTGAGCATTGTAATGAGAGGTTTCTCTCCCATCTTCTGATGTAGGTGTGTCTTTCTATGTGTTGCTTTCATTGGTTAATAAAGAGACTGCTTGGCCTGATAGGTCAGAACATAGGTAGGTGGGGAAGACAGAACAGAATGCTGGAAGGAAGAAGGCAGTGAGGCAGACGCTGTAGCTCTCCTCTCTAAGATGGACGCAGATTAAGATTCTTCCTGGTAAGCCACCACCTCATGGTGCTATACACATTAATAGAAATGGGTTAATCAAGATGTGAGAGTTAGCCAATAAGAGGCTGGAACTAATGGGTCAAGCAGTGTTTAAAAGAATACAGTTTCCATGTAATTATTTCGGATAAAGCTAGCCAGGAGCCAGGTGGCGGGACACAGCCCTCCGCTCCTTTTACAGAGTGGCTAATGGGCCAGGCAGTGTTTAAAAGAATACAGTTTCTGTGTAATTATTTCAGGTAAAGCTAGCCGAGCGGTGGCGGGAAGCAGCCCACCGCTCCTACTACAATCTTCCAGTTCCTGAATAACTCTTCA